TGTGTAATCATAATTACGGTACGACTCGTCTTCGAAAAATTGTTAGAGTCTTGCTACCCAATCATACAAATTTTACATCAAAGCCGATGTTAAGCGGGTAAAGAAAGGTGAGAGGTGTTCGATAGATGCTGCAAAACAGATAGAATTGTAGCATCAAATCCTCGTAAAACTAACAAGAGGGGAAATATTTGAACTTTTAGGGTTTGATGGTCCTGGAATCATGGACTAATAGGAAAAGATAATAAACAAATTTATTGCGATAAAAATACATGTGGATTAGACCTGTCAAAATGTGTCTCAAGTTTCGAATTTTTGAACTCGACAAGTAACATAATTCAAACAAGTTTCATTTGAATTTTTTACTGCATCGTCAAAACAACGTTCTCCGGTAAGCCGGAAAGGATTTTTTCGATAGGTTAATTAAATTTTTTTACTCAAGCACTCAACACCTACGTCTTTCATTAGATATAGAAAAGTGGATTAAATGATTTTTTTTTTCTTTTGTTTTTAATTCAAATTTGAATCAGTTACGCCCCCCGCCGCAGAATCCCTTGAGCTAAACATGTCCACAGAAATTAGTTGCACTGTTGCCAAATTCTTAAAAATATTTCAACAATAATTCCTTTCTATCCTAATACTTAATGGTATATGCTCGATAACTTCCTGAAATCCTATCATTATCCCGCCTGTTTTCCTTTCATACAAAAATTATTTGCAAAAAAAAAAAGTGGTTTTTTGAAACTGTTAAGTTAGCAACGCAGGGATATTTGAAGCGCTAATTAATCGCAAAATTTAAAATTTATTCCATTTACTGGATTACCTGATATGAGGTTAGTATATTTTTGTACACTCACTACCTGTCAAATATTCGCTTTCTCGAATAATGTAACGCAATGAATACAAACGACGAGATTCTTCAAAGCACACATACACATACGGTTGTTATCAGCATCACCAGCATCACCAAGCACCGAAACTACAATTACGATATGAAAAAGTTTATCGTGACGATTTAACTATCTCTCGGGCCATGTTGATTGCAGAGGTGCCGAACTACTATGATTATACAACTGATCATGTAGCCCCATTTTCAAATTGTAGAGCTTGGTAAGCAGAAGGACTGAAGATCAAACGGACAAAAATACTTAAGCAGATCGCTTGATGGCGCATTTCAACGCGCATTTCCGTGGACGACATAACATGATCGAATTTGAACATATTATGGAGGCTTGCTTACGCTTCTTGCGATTTGACGCATGTTTGCAAATAAATATATTTTTAAATGTGTTGTATGTTGTGTGTTGTGTGTTTTGTGTCGAAGCTTGCGTTCATTGATAAATTGTCACATTTGCGAACTTGAAAAAAAAAAAAGAGAAAATTATTATAGTGCGGCGAGGTCAGTCAAAGCTACCTTAATTGCTGCAATTAATTCTTCACTAAAAATTATACTTTATTTCCGTGTAAAGACGCACATTTTATGGGTTCGAACACCCTACAAACACGCTTTGTTGACCTGTACAGTTTTAATATGGGATTGAAAGAAGAACACGTGCGTGGATCAAATTTAGTCTCTGCAAACATTATTAGCATAAAAATTTTCAATATGAGGCGTATTAGGTGGAATGATCGGAAAACCGATTCGATGTAATCCATTTTCAACGGAATTTGCCTTTGGCTTCGACACATTAGTGTAGTAAGTGTAGTAACTGTTGTCAAAAGGTCTTGTCTCAAAAATTATGAATACGCGGAATAACATCAGATGCACAAATAAGCACAAACCGATTCAGAATATGATGATGAATCGATTGTAACACTACAAGTGTATTCATTGCAAGCCCTTCTGATTGTTGCATACATCCGTGCAGACCTAATACACACTGTACTGCCATTGAGTACAAAAAAAGAAAAGAAAAAAAATTAATAAAAAAAAAAAAAATTAAGAGGAAAAATAAGAAATGAATTAAAAGATTTCTATAATAAATAAATTTAAATATTGTATTTTAAAGAAATGTATTTACCTTGAAATGTATATTTTTAGAAAAAATTTTAAAAGCAATTTTCGGATGATGATTAACTTAAGTGAAAAATCTTTTAAGATATTTTCATAACATTTTAATAGAGCTCGTTGTCAGCTGACTAAGCTATGCCACATCGTCATTCCGTTGGTAAGGGAATAAAAATATTCTTCAGAAATACTTCAAACTATATGCAGTCATAGACTGAACGCGAAATTTTACATTAATTAAATCGTATTCCATGTTCGAGGCTATTGCGAACTTGAAAATTTACATGATTTTCATAAATACAAATTCACAGTTAAAAACGTAGCGCAGCGATTTTTCTTTACATCTTACCGTGATGTCATAACGTGTACACGTTGCTTGCCCGTGCATAGAGCTATCGATTATCCAAGTTTGATAACAACCGTGAGAGATATCTGTAAATGTAATATATGGATAAGATCTGTTGAAGGCAGTGTTGGGGAAGTAGTTGGGGGGGGATTTAAACCAAGGGATTTAAAATATACGATAACGGACGTAATCTTACTGCGAGTTTTGTATACCTTACACCCAACTTGTGGTACAGGGTATATTAAGTTAGTGCGTTCGTATGTAACATGCAGAAGGGCTTAAGATCAACCCACGTTTTATTATACCGATCGATTCAGAATCATGATCTGAATTGATCTAAGCCTGTCTGCCCGTCTGTCCGTCTGTCCATTTGATGCTTGTCCGTGTAAATTTGTGCTCAACTCTACAGGTCGCAATTTTTGAAATATTCTGATGAAATTTGTTACAGTAACGTGTTCTGACCCAAGGACAAACGCTATTGAAAATTGTTCGGCTCAATCCGTCGTTATATGAAAAAAAAATTGTACCTTACAAAATTTCTCGGCAAAAGTGGCTAAGTAGTAATATTTCGGCACTCTAAATTGCTATGAAAACTTTGGACCGAGTAAGACAATTTTTGAGTCACCTCTCATATAACGAAAACTGAGGGTCATACGACAAAAGGGTATAATTTTCAATGCCTCACGAAGAAATAATAGTAATTCAAAAAAAAAAAAATTAACTGTAAAAAATTTGGACCATATCGGCCTATTTTCTTGGATCCTTCCCTAATAGAGATTTTCACAAAAATTGACCCTTTGCTCTACAATTTCTAGAGCGGAAAAGTCTAAGTTTTAATATGTGGTGATGAAAATTGACTCATAATATTGTATAAAAATTAACTCTACAAAATTTTGCCTATTTTTGGATGCTGCCCGATGTAACGAATCAACTTGCACTACATTGGATTGCGTTTTTGGCCCGCTTCCTCATAAACAAGCACTTGATAACTATGCCTTTATATGGCAACATGATATAATTTTTGTGTAACTATAAGAAAAATAAGACTTGTGTTGGACAATGTGGTGTAAGGTATTTAAAGGTCGGCCTTGTCCGACTATAATGTTCTTAGCTGTTTTATTCTTCTTAACAAAAAATGGCTCAATTTTTTGGAAATTTAAAGTTTCCCTTTCTTATTCTCTTATGCATTATGATTAATAAAAAACTATTGATTCATTCATAAGCGAAGCGATCATAACGCATATTAATGATTCAGTTACGATGATAATAAATTAAATGTATGCATAAAGCATATGTAGAACAAAGGTGCTTGTGCTTGGTATCCAAACTTCACTCTAAAGCGAGTCAAGTGCAATTAATGAGTTTCATGAAATCGACGAATGATGATGGAGGTTGGAATGTATTAACTCAGTTTTAGATGAAGTAAATCCTTTAAATATAGATCAGTGGAAATTTGTTGTGGCTATCGAAATGAATTCTCTCCACCTCGATACGTGTCAGAATTAAGTTCGCCTAACCGTTTATGATGGGCGATGTGGTAAACATGAAATCTAATAATTTTTGAAACGAAAGAAATTGATTCAGAACAGACGTATAGTAACACCAGACTATGTATTAACGAGAACAAAAGAATAGAAGTTGTATTCGTCTTCCGCTCAACTTTTAAGATTGTAATTTAGATAAATGTGAATCTCGTAATAAGCTAAGGAGTGGAGGCATAAATTGAGTTTTCTGATTGTCGGAAAATTTTAAATTAAGGTTTTCAAGTCGTTTATTCATCTTATGTGAAGTTAAGCGTTGATTAAAAAAAATGTAATGAACCGAATTTCCATCTGCAACTCGTTGCTGAAACGAGACGAAATCGTCTAATTTTCGAAGAGATTGATAATGTGAGCCGTAATGTGTGCCACATATGATAATAACGTGCGACAAAAATGGGTGGTCGAAATGAGTGAGCTACATCAACGGTCCCAAAGCTCGGATTGAGTGGGATTGGAAGAGAATTGTGTTAAGAAGAATACAATTCCAGATTAATTGCTCAGCAAAAGTTTGGGAAACCTTAGCGGAAAAGTTTCGGTGCACGTGCAATAAAGCTCGTCCGATCAATATTTGTTTCACTCTCTGAAAATTCAGAAATACCGCTGTGTGATAAAGTAATTTTTTTTATCAGTAAAACGGCAAAGCCTGTCGATGAAAACCTTTTGCTTGATTTCTCATATATGTTTAACTGAACGACATATCTAGTACATCATTACCCTTCGTAGGGACGGGTGCAAAATTCGCAAGATTTCATCTTGTTTGCTTAAAAGCGATGAAATCAAAAACTCACCTTAAGACAAATATAACCTTCTTACTATCATTACAATCGGAATCTTCAGAGTCAACCATCCCTTCGATGGATTGCTTTTGCTAATCAATATTCTAAACATAAGTAAGAAATCCGTCAACTGTGCGATTTCACTTAAAAGAAGATAGAAATTTTAGAAAACTGAAACAGAGATGAAAATTGTTTATAGATATCTTGATAACGGGCCGGTAGAAAAGCCATTAACACTTTCCGGCTAAGAGGATGGGTTACTGCACATATTAATTATACTGTGTATTACATCACTTGTCATATACTTCTACTTCTTCTTTTTTCCTTCTCAGTTCGTGTATCCAAATAGTGATTAGATTGGAGAAAGTCGATCAAAATTACTCATGGGCGGGAGGGGATTGATGTAATTTTCAAATAGAAGTATTCTTAACTTCCTACACGAATGCGATTAGAAAACTTATACTGTTTCATTACCGTATTACTTATCAGCAGGTAAATATATATATATATATATATATATTTATTTAACCAAAGAATATGTATACATGTTCAAACATTGTCACGTCTTTGGTTGTGTAAACACTCATGATTTTTTTTTGTTGTTGTTGTAGATTTTATCTTAATTTTCTTAATTATCTTTGCGTTCGTATCAATGTTGTAGTGCAAAGTCAGAACTGCAGAACCGAAATAGGTTATCGCATAGCCTAGTAAATAGCAAACATGATTATCAAGTTGATTGCTCCAAGTTCAATCCCCAGTATGGCACTCGACTAGCATGCGCGCACCGCTTTAGTGGGCGCTCAATTGATAACGGCATACCATCTATCGATTGGCGGTACACCTCCCATGTGGCCATATTCTATATCTTTTGTCTCATTTCTCTCGACCTGATCATCATCGCGCTTATATAAGTAGATGTGCGGTCTGCTTGTGACTACTCTTTTCGATTACTTATATAAAGCAATTAAGTTCTTCTAGGACTTACGTTATGGATAAGAGTAGATCTGGTCCACACTAAACCTTGAACAATTTTTTTTCCTCCTGTTTTATTATTATATAAATTGATGTTTTAAATAAAATTTTCGTAAATTTTATTTTCAGTACTTCAATGGGTTGAGTTATGGTATGTCTAATTCCTGAACCCGGGACTATAAAAGGTAATATAAATAAATTTATAGAAAATTATTTTTTTAAAAGGAACATAAAAAAATATATGTAAATAAACAGTAATCCATATAATCAGGATATAAATGTTAAGATTCAATCAAGGAAACTTTCCCTTAAAGCCTAAATGTATTTTAGGGGTTTGCAAAACCTAGAAGCTAAATAGTTAAGAAGTTCGACTGTCAAGTCGATATACTTGGGCTCAATTCCCAATACCTTAACTACGATCAGTGAATGTACGATCACAGTTATAATGAGCGGTCGGTCGATGAAGACATAAAACGCACCGATCGGATACAGACGTCCCAGGCTATAGTCACTCTACGTCTGCCTTCCTTCTCTATAGGAGGCTCCACTTCAGCATATACAATGACAGCAATTTTCTTGCATATGTTTTTGTTGCTGAGCTTTTTTAAGATAAAGGTGGTGTGCGTGTGTGTGTGTGTGTGTAGAAGATTCGACAAAACTCAAATATGTTATTTTTTCTAGTTGTTTTTGTTCCAGTTGTATTACTCCGAAGTAAGCTTCGGAGACGGTATAAAGTAATTATTATCCTTTGACTGCATAAGATTCATCGTCCAATTAGCCCTGTATGCTGGTCCGCCATCTGTTATCGGAATAGAAACATTAGAAACAAAACAAGTAAAAAAGTTAAGTTACATATACATACCCATCACCGTTATCCTAAAAAAGACAAAACAAGTAGAAGAACATAATTTTCATGCTCTACAGTATACAGCGGGCGCAGGTGATTTTTTCTACATTGAAAATAAAAAAAGTTTTTGTCATATAGGCATGTGGACGTTGTGGGCGTGTCCTTTGAAAAGTTTAGGTCAGTTCCAAATTCTTTTGCAAATTTGTAGAGGGGGGAATGCTTACCGCATATACTACAAAGTTCCGCAAACAGATATATGGACAGACGAACAGACGGACATGTACAGATGCATTCCAAATTTGAAACTGGCTAACAATTTGCATATTTAATATGGTTTTTGAAATTTACTTCTACGCCTTGTAAAAGTATTGAAAAAACAATTAAATTTTGATACCCCTGTAATATTGGATATGCGTGAGCAATTTTTTCCATTTTTGTGCACATATACTAGAGCATGGCCCATAGAATATTCCTTCGAATTTTTGTGCATTTATTTGCTATAGTTTATGAATAATGAGTAAAAAAACAATTTTGCATTTCTTTTGGTAAACAGAGATGTTCTTAGTTTACGTAGTGCTATGGGCGAGTCCTTCGATCGATTTCGTCCATTTTTAGTAGCAATTTGCGTGTCAAAAACTTCCACTATTTTTGCCAAATTTGAAGCCGATAGCTTCATTTTTGAACATGAATACAACGGACGGACAGACGGACATGATTAAATTGATTTAGGGTCTGATGCTGACTAAAAATATATATACTTTGTGGGCTGTCTGATGCTTCCTTCTGGGCGATGCAAACGTTTTGCCAATATCAATACATCCCAAATACTTGGGTGACGGGTATAAAAGGCGGGGCTTTGCATTTGCATTTATGACTGTCGACATGCTGTTAATGGTCGAGTCGATGCATCCACTAGACAATTTATCGCTATGAACAATGTATAGTATAGTTTTTGTCAGTGTCGAATGAATATTCAAACGACTACAAAATTCAATCGCAATCAAGGGAAAAATAAAGCAAAATATCGTTACGACATATACACACATGATACGATTGATGAGAAGATAAAGAATAACTAATCTTATCAATGACGGAAATTCCAAAATGTTAGCTCAACCCAATGGTTATCTCCGATGCATTTCTCTTCTCGTGTCATAAAATAAAAAGATACTATGAAAAAGAAATTAAGAAAGAAAGTTTTTAAAAAATATTAAAAGAGGAGTTGAGAGAGTTATAAAAATTTAATAATAAAGAAAAAGAATTAATTATATATCTATATATATATATATATATATATATGTATATAAGTTAAAGATAATTTATTTCAATTATTATTTTGCTTATTCAATCTTATAATCTTTCAATACTTTCTTATTCTTCTTTTTTGTATTTTTCTGCTTTTATATTGTTATTCATATACCATTGGTAGTTTAAATGCAACGCTGTTTTTGTTCTTAACTAAAAAACTTCATTCGAATCGACAACATTTGGTTTCATAAAAATTCACAAAAAGAAAACCCGCGATGCGGAAAAGATGATCGAGTCGAGGGCCATACTGTCAGCATTCTCGCTAATGAGTTTGCATTTTAAGTTGGCCGTTCTCGTTATCGAGTAACCGCTAGCGAGAATTGAGTCGATGGTACTCGACAGCGTATGAGTGTTTGTTCCCTATCGAAATCAAAATATCATATTAGTTTGGAGAAAAAGAAATCCATTATTTTTATATGAACTTCAGGACTTTATTTAACATGCTTCGGATTATCCGATTTGGGTCAAATATGCACCATTTTGTTATACGATTTGTTGCCATTTTAAAGGTAACTTCAAAATGCCTCTCTCATAGAAGTCCTGGTCTCCATTTGCAAGAAACTCTAGTAGTCGATTTTCACAATCCTCCCTAGATTCCAATTTTTTATCATTAAAGAAATTTTGCAATGCAAGAAAAAGATGATAATCGCTTGGTGCCAAGTCCGGACTGTATGGCGGATGCATTAAAACTTCCCAACCAAGCTCCCGAAGTTTCTGGCGAGTCACTGTAGATGTGTGTGGCCTAGCGTTGTCCTGGTGGAACACGACACCTTTCTTGTTGGCCAATTCTGGCCGTTTCTGGTCAATCGCTATCTTCAAACGGTCCAGTTGTTGACAGTTGTTGATCAGAATTTAGCGTTTGGCCATATGGAAGCAACTCATAATAAATAATCCCCTTCCAGTCCCAGCAAATGCATAGCAAAACCTTCCTGGCCGTTTGAGATGCTTAAACCGCTCTTTGACCACGATCGTTTTTGCACAGGGTTATCGTATGTGATCCATTTCTCATCTCCAATCACCATCCGTTTAAGAAATGTGTCTATCTCATTCCGTTTGGCCAAGGCTTCGCAGATGGAAATTCGATCCATCATGTTTTTTTCTGTTAATTG